GAGGGGGGGGGAGAGAGAGAGAAAATAAGATTTAACGACCGACTTAAAAACTAGCTGCTTTCATCCTTCACAGGGCTCTTCAGGTTTATTTCAAAAGAACTCGTGACGTCACACTTACATGTCATGTCATCAAACTACAATAGTATATATATATATATCATATAGCAGTGGGAAAATTATGTTTTCATACTGTACGTAGTATCTATAATAATTTGTTATGTGTCAACAAGCGTATTGAAATATTACTCGTGGTAATGTAAATATGAAAGTAGTTTCAATGCGCCATAAGTTCACTTTGAGGGGAATGCGCATGTTTTGAAATATCATGATGGAAATTAACAGCACCGTGACAGCTAGCTATACGCAAGTGAAAATTATTTGCTATTTGCAATAACGATATATTGATCAAACGGAGGTTTATAACACTAGATTTTCTTAAATGATTTCATATTTATAAAATAACATTTTAAAATACAATAATGGAATTTTCTTATATCTTATTGAATTATGAAGCTAAAATGATCCATAAAATAAGTCAGATGACTCTAGCGGAGGAAGGATCGGGGATAAGGAACAACGTGGGGAACCCACGTGACTTTTAGATATCACATCAATTTCACTATGGTCGAAGCCCCGCTTGGTAAGGTGTTTTCCGTTATAACTATTTTTCTGTTACACGGATTTTCTCCAAACTTGAACGAAAGAAGGGCCCGAAGTAGCTTATTTTATGATGTGCAACCAATTTTTCGTGATATTTTCCGTTTTTCAATTGATGCTCAAACAACCAACCGTGAGGAAGATAAGATCCCGTGAAGGGCCTTGCACGACAAAAATACACAATCATATACCGTTTAAATGAGTACATGTATGTTGTAGTATTGGACACCCGGGTGCCGAAGCTAGTTGTTCTAATCTGGTTATTGAATAATCACTATATGTTTGTACATGTATGTTATGATAATTCGACCTTTGTGGTCTATCAACATGAACATATGTTGTTTATGCCTTCATTATCTTTGAGTTGCCCGGATCTAAATGAATTGTAAAATTTCCATTTATTACGACATCCAGAATAGTTGGGGTATTTTTTTTTAACAAAAAGTGCGGTTATTTTTTTTTTTCAAATCCTTTAGGATTCCGACATCCAGAAAAGTTGCGGTATTCTTTTCAACAAAAAATGAGGTAATTTTTTGCAAATCATTTAGAAAATGCATTGGAAAATAACCAGCCGGATATGATATACTTGCGAAATAGCACGGGGAAACTAAAATTTAGCCTCTGTCTCAGAAAATTCGTCCTAAATATTTTTTTATGAAAGGTTAGAAAGGAAGTCATGAACGTGTTGTTTTTGACTGTCATATCTTGCGTAATTGAACAAAAGTAGGTGCACGCCTAATTCAAGTATAACCTTCTGTTTTCGAGAATACCTCACCTTGACACGAACTTCTATTCGCTAAACATGACTCAAGTTGTCTCCCTTTGTCCGCCGTTTACGTTAGGTAGAGACTCAGGGGTTCGTTACAAATGTCTCACTTACATATGCTTTACTGTCTGATATGTGTCGTAGTACGCGCCTGATCTATATCAGTTTAGCATATATATATATATGTATTTAAAACATTTTTAACGTAGCCCTGTTGTAGAAACATGGTTTTTTTAAACATGCGTTCATGAACCTGTTGTTATAAGGCCAAACAAAACATATTTGATGTTTCCGGTAAAACTACATACCCTATTAGACACTTTTCAAAGAAGCACTGCTAAAGTCAAGATCACTCTCCCATATAAACCATAATTATACAATCAACTGTTAAAATGAAATATGTTACCTTCCTACATACACTAACGTTTTTGTGCTACAGGTCTCCTGAGGAAACACATATATTGTTTTGCCTGGCCTTATCGAAACAACAAACCGTCAAAGATATCGGATCCAAGATACGGTTGGTTGATAATGAAATCTTTTAAAAAAGTGAGTTTATTCTGAAAGTGCAACAAACAAATTTCAGCGAGTAGACAATATTTGAGAATATAATATAATATAAACAAAGGGACATAACTCTACATAAAATCGTCCATGTGACCCGATTAAACAACGCCACTCGCGAACTGCCATCTCAAGACATCAATAAGTACTCATACACAAACTTTGTCTGTGGTAGGTGGCTGAGTACATTGTGCACTAGACATGCCCCAAACGAATGGATACACGGTGAACTCCGTATAATAGAGTTAAGTACGAGACAACTCGTCAGTATTCAATACTCCACCATTCCAAGAGGGACCTACTCACATACAAAATTTGACATAGTAGGTGACAGGGAACATCAGAAATACACGAACAAATTGTCAGACGATGAACAAACGACCTTTACTCTGTATACTGGAGCACGAGACCCAGTTTCAATACTCAATACTCAACCACTCAAAGAAGTTCTCACATACATTGTAGGTGACAAAGTATATTAGATTTGTCCTAGACATGGACCGAAAGGACGTCAATTAACAAACTTAAATTCTCGTTGTGTCGCTCCGAAAAGATGATATTTAATAGCTACACGTATCCTTAATCTCGTTCGCAGGGCCTTGGTTGGCGGTACAAAAGTCCTTATCATAAATTTCAAATACCCCCATAGGACCCGTATGTGTTCATGTATCTTGCTTTTCTAATATCACACGGTTATAATAAAGTTATTCCGACTAAATAAAATTAATAATGTATAAGTCAATAAACGGGCTAGTGCTGTTTGCATAGACTTATATCAATATCTAAACAAGCGTTAATTATATGACCGCAACCGTTCCCGAACCAAACCCAATTGTAAGTGTAGATATATATTTTTCTGTGTAGTTCCGTTTTGATTCTTGTCTATGAGACCTGTGTAGTATAAAGTGTTAAAGTTATAGAGCGTGACCTGCTATGCATATCATCTACAGTTTTTCTTAAGTGTTATCTTGTGTAATCAATGTACTTCAGTGCGTGCAGCGATTTTTCATTTTGAAGGATATGTTCTCTCACAAATGTTGATATCATAAAAAGTAAGCTAAAGTCAAGCTGCAGTGCTTTTTAACTTGAAATGTGTCAGGAAGTGCATTGCTGACGTCATTTTATGATGGTTATTGTACATTTCACCGGGGAAAATGTCATATATCAAAACCTGACAAACCTTTGGTTGAGTTTTATAGTTAGAGAGAATATTATTTAAGAAATAATCATGATTAGTTATGACTTGATAGAGTTAGCACTTTGCATAAATCTACGAAGCAAAAGCGCACGCATTCAGCCCCTGAAATAATCATCTTGATTCCTTAAAACGTTCCATAGTTGATGAAAAGAAAATGAAAGGCTATTACTCATATCACAATATTGCGCTGTAATTGCACTGCCAAGCCACTTAAACCAATCAGAAGACAGGTTTGCAAAAACAGCCCTAAACGTTGCGCTATACGACGCCATCACTTTTTGTGCTGTCCTTTTGTTTTGGATACACAATGTAACACGTAACAGTCTATCCTTGGGGAAACACCTAAAATTGAATTCTATTTAAATATATATATATATGTTTACTTTTTTCAGCACGAATCTATATTAACCAGTGGTGCTAACCAGTGGCGTGTTATGTGTTAGGGAATGCTTAGTTTCTTTGCGTGAGAGAATGACAAGCGATGACAACACATGTGTTATTTTCCTTCTTCAATTTTTATCCGGAAACCAGAAAGACACACTAAACAAGGAACCCACATGAACATACAGTACGGATTTACGGATAAACTAAAATACAAAACGTCAATTTCCGGATATTCCTTGATTATATACTATCCCCTCCTCAAAACAAAACAAAAATACCTGATTGGTGGGTTTTTTA